AATGCTCAACATAGCCTTGAGTTTCTCTCAGAACATGTTTAGGAGGTGCTGGAATATTTGGTTGACCAGGTGTGGGTTGATGCAGTTCAGTTTTGGCAACATGCAAGAGTAGGCCAAGTCTCTTGTATGCATAATTGAAAAACAAATTGAGTGACTTGCAAATTGGGTGTAAAGTGAGCAACTACACTACAGTCTTCTACATACTGTAGGTCACGTATGTCTATGATATTCAGCTTAATTTTGGCAGCTTAATTTTAAAAAATATTCCCATCTCGGCAATATTTAATATTCCAGAGGCAGCTGGCCTTTGATGAAGTGAATAGCCGCTATAACCATCCCTGTGTATGTATTGTCCCATTAGCTGGACAGAACCGCTACAGGTGGTAAATATAGTCAGGGGGATGTTGCTTTAGGAGTGCTGTAACCTCTTAAAATCTCATGGCATTAGACTCAACATGGACAAGGAATCCTACTGATTACCAACTAGTATACTTTCCTCAACTAATTAATCAATACTCTTCCATTTTGAACACTACTTGGGAGAAACATCAAAAGTTACAAAGGCACAGAGTGTATTTTGGGAATTTCAGTGTCTATCACTAAGAATAACTTGATAGTACCATTGCTGATGAAGATGGCTGAGTCCTAAAGATCATATCTGTTAGACTAGACCAGTGCCAAATAGTGAGGCAACCAACAAGAGAAAGAAAACCGACTTGAACTCATCTATTTGTCACAGAAGCATCTCATTATGGCAGTAGCAATGGAGGGACCAAAGAATGGCCTTGTTGATATAAAGTCCAACTTCTGAATCCAGGATACCCAACATCATGTTCTCCACCACTACCGCTGTACTGACAGTTGCACTCGTATCATTCAGAAGCAGTTGCAGGGTTGGAGAGACATTTCTTGGATTTGCAAATCTTGGGAGTACAACCCACATAGGCTCGCAGTTTATTGAGTCAAATGTTTTGGTCAGATCGAAGGATACAATGAAGAATTCCTGTCGGTGTTCTTGGAATTTTTCTTGCATTTGTTGGGCACCAAAGATGACGCTTGAGCTTTCTCTGGAAGATCAAAATCTATACTTTGTGTTTGGGAGGATATCCCCAGCTCAAGGAAGATTATTCAGGAGAATGGATTTCAGGATTTTCCATGCTGTGGACAAGAGGGAATTAGCTTGAGAATTTCCAAAGTACAGTTTTTCACCTCGAAAATCATTACAATTGTCGCATTCCTGACATTCCAATAGTTAATTATTTTTCTTTCCAAATTTATGAGTCTTGACATGAGCAAAGTCCAATAACTTTGAAAATCTCAGCTGGAATACTGTCAATGTGACAGGCTTTGTTATTTTTCATCTGTTTCAAAGTTCTGCTCTCCCTCTGATGTTGGTTCACCCATGGATTCTATCACAAAGTACCAGGCAATAGTCTGGAGAGTGGTTGTTGTCACTTTGGGTTCACAATGAAGGAATCATTCCAAATATGTTTTTCCAGTATTGACAGATGATATTGTCATCTTTAAGAAAAGAAGCACCATCCTGTGAGCAAAATGGATTTTGTTCATTTGTCTTTCATCAATAGATGGTCCTAATAACTCCAAAGAAGTCTTGCATATCATGATGGTGAGCATATAATTGGATCTCTTGGGCTTTCTCTTCCCACCACATGACATTTATCATAACACTTTGTCTTAGAGCTTTGGGTTGAGCATTTGGGATGCTGCCTTCTTGGCTTGCAACCTTGGCTTATTTTCTCAGGCAATGAAAGCTGCTCATTTTGGTTTTTGGCCGTCACCTCTTCCAGCATTGTTTTCATCATCAGTCTTACTGACAATGACATACGTACAGGTCCTGTTACACCTGGCTTATTTTTGATCCTCCTGTTCTGGAATTGAGTTGGATGTGCGCAGATTTTCCAGATGATCAAGGAGTATCTGATCCTTTGCCTCTGGATGCTTCCATGCAGTTTTATATTCATCTGTCTGGCAGAAGAGTTTGATCCAAATTTTGGTGACTGAGTGAGAATATAGAGTGTTTGAATGAAACCATTCTGAGCAAAAGTCATCAGTAGGAGGACGCCATTTGTATTGGCTTTTTCCAACCTTTTTTTTCCCCATGGTTCTGTTCCAGACATTCAAGTCAAGGCCAACCCTGCTATTAAAGTCCCTCAGAAGGATGGTCTTTCCTTCTTTTCAGATAACAGTGAAAACTACATCAAGTCAGGGTAGAATTTTTCCTTATCATCCTCATTGGAGTTGAAGGTCAGTGAATAAGCACTGACAATGGTAGCATATTGATTGCGACGGAGCTGGTGGAGTGTCATGGTTCTTTCACTTTTACAATTGAGGAGATATGGCAGTGCGTTAAAAATCCTATTTCAGGATAGTCAACTCTGTGGTGACAAAGGTCATTTTTCCAGTAAAATATACGCCCCTTTTATGTTCCTTCAACTGCCCCTTCCGAGGAAAGCAGGTCTCACTGGAGTACTGGTAGCTGATGCAATTATAGTTGTTTTTTCTTTCTAGACACTCTCCCATAAAATTTTCTGAGTATTCTAATATTCAAGATTCCAAATTTTAGTGTTTTCATTCTTTCACCACAAAGATGGTGACTCCACAAGAGACTCCAGTCACTAGAAAGTGGGACCAACCACTTTTGTAGGGTCCCTTTTCTGGTCCTCTTCCATTTAGGTTGAGCAGATGATTCTCAGTCACAGATGCTGCAGTCTAAAGATACCACTGTCCAACAACTTTCATGCATCTGTCACTTGTATGCAGATTTATGACTACAGGCACCTGAGTTCACAGCCCCCACTGTTCCCACGGACAATTTATCATCCACAGGACCTAGCAAATGGACTCTGGTAGAAGACTGTGAATGATTTTGTTTAGCGCGGGAACATTGGGCCACAGTCATTGTTCACACAAATTTGACCGGATGGTGTCAGTTTTCGGTGATATGCCTGACCTTGCAACTGCAGCCTTCTCCCAATTTTGAGCTGGTGAGACACACAGGATGGAATCTTACAGGGCTCTGAGCGATGTGGGCTCTGGTGAGATTGATGGAAGAATCAGACAAGAAATTCAGTGAGGACTATCTCAACTCATGAGCTGCTCGGAGCATCATTTCTACTTTTGCCCATCTAAGGAGCAGTGAGTTGCCAATTAAGGGGTGTTATAGCTTGCTAAATTCCTTGTTGATGGCCCAGCTTGCCTCATTAATATTCAGCTACCTATCTTACTAAATGTGCGATACAAACTGGACATCGAGAATTCTCAACATAGAGGTCAGAGTGAGTAACTGGTGACTTCATCTTGCTGCTTCTTACAAAGGACTACCACGTTGGACATGAGCATGACTATCTCAGGGCATGCTCCATGGGCATGAGCCACACGCACCCCATGTCCATTTGATGGTGCAACTGATATAGGCCAGCCTCTATGATTCCCATGGCACATCTCCAATTCACTCACACTGTACTGCTGCACTTCAGTGCTGCATCTTGGGCTGCGCTGGCAACTCTCATTGTAATGCTGCAGCAAGGACGCTGTGCATTCAGAGACACACATGAACTGGACCAGACTGCACCTCCAGCCTGTTCATTTCCTGTCATAACGCTCACTCATGCTGAGCCTACCTGGGATTGTCACAACATCTCTTCCATGCTTGTCTTGCTTTGCCGTTTTTGCTCTTTGCCCCCTAAGCCAGAGATACCAGGCTGATAATACTGCTGTGCCATTTAGGGCAGACGTGAAAGCTTCTTGTGGTTAACACCGGTCCTCACTGAATTCAAGAGAGATGTCTGTTGGCCAGGGGGCCCTGGCACCGTAAGTAAACAGCAACCTCCAGTACCAGTCAGTCAGTCTCTCAGGGCAGTTGGCATCAAGGTCCTAACATCATAAGGGGCAAGGGATCAGGCTGCCCACCACCTGCCTTGACTCTTTCTGCCGTTTTGGGAACTGTCACCCTCCTGAAATGAAAGAGAGGCAAATATTAAGGGAGATTAGTGTGGATGGCACAGCTGTTACTTTGGGTGCAGATGGTGAGTTGGCCCAAGCAAGTGAGTAGGCAGCGAGAGGGCACACGGGGTTAGTGTTGTCGGTGGTTGAGTGGATGACAATGAGTGAGGGAAGATGTTGCAGACAACAGTGAGAGTGGTGGAGTGTGAGCCTTGTTGCAAAGTGAGTACAGTAGCAAAGATAGAGTAGATGTGAGGTATCAGAGAGAAGATGCTGGCAGATTGGACAAGGACACCTGGTGCAATCCTGTGGGAAGGCGATGCCTCACCTTTGCATCACCCTGTCCACCATGTCACCAGGTTGCTGCTCGCAATACAGGCATCAATTTCCCCCAGTCTGTCATACCTTGGCAACATGTCAGGAACAGTACAGGTCTGCTCCAGACGAACAGTGCTTGTCCGGGTGCACAGTGTGCTTTTAAAGTTGTTGCAGGTGCAAGAGATGCCAACCTGTTATCCAGTGTTGTCCCAGAAATGGCATGTGGTAAGATTTGACTAGAGCCGGGCATGAGGGATGCCATTGGGTTACGCAAGGTAGTTAATGAGGTGCATTTGGTAAGATACAGTGAAGTATCTCTGTGGACCTTGTGGCAAGATTCCCTTCAAAACACTCAATGCAACTTGCGTTTAGCCAAAACAGTCTTTCCTCATCTGCTCTGTCATTGAGGACTTTTTCCATTTTGACTGACCATAACCCACCTGACCTTACCAGCTCCTGACTGCATCACTGAAGGGATCATCAAATTACACAAGCCTTTCCAGCACGGCAAGGTGATGATTCACCAAATGGATAGCACTCCTGATTTAGCAGTCTAATGCTGAAGTGAAATCTACAACTATTTAGAAGTTAATTATGTCATTACATAGACATGTTTTATTTACCTGTACTGTTTGTCTTTTAAAGATCCTAAGAAAATATCATGATAGAGTAAATTATTAGGAAATTGTTGATTTTTAAATTCCTCTTTTTTCTTTTAGGATGATTATTTCAGAAGCTGGAATCCTAACAAGCCATTTGATCAAGGTATGCCATTTGAAATGACCAGATAATTTTGAATTGAAGTTCAAGCAGGTAACATCATTACTTTTTAAAAAAAATTAAGTTTACCTATCTCAGAAACATGAAAAGACCTGTAAATAATTTTAAAAGAACATTTTTTGCTTTCTTTCATATAAAATACCATTAGTTTTTTAAAATTTTATCTGTTCAAATATAATTCAAACCTTTTTAAGTTTTGCATAGAAACAAAGGCATAAAAGTGAAACTTGTTTTTTTTTGTATTATGCAATATATGTTATGTGAGTCTGAATATTGAAACAGCCTTTGAACTATGCCAGAAGAATCTTCAATGAAATTGATCTTTGTGAAATCCACAAGTATTTTCTGAGCCTGGCAGTGTGTATAATTACCAGAATCAATGCCACTTATTTCTTTGTTGGTCACAGATACATTCACACAGATGCATAGTACTTGCAGGTGTAGATCAATAATAGTGGTGGTTTTATTCTTTTCAAAACTTGGGATTTGAAGTGTGGTGTATGCAGAAACACATTGTAAGTGAAATTATGAATACAGTGAGTAAAATGATAATAAAATAAATTTTTTAAAAATGATTTTACTTCAATAACCATCACTTGAATCACTAGAATATTATTGAGTAGCTGTAAAACGTTGAAAGGCAAACTACACAAATTCATTTTTAAGTCAAGAATGTTTAGGTGATACTCCAGTTTAGGGAGAGGAATTGCTGTGGGCCTGGCTTTATTCCTTCCCTTGTGGTAACCACAGTGGGCCCAGATGTTATGGGTGACCTTGTGGTCAATTGAACCTGATTACACAGCAGCAAGCTCGTGTGTGTTTGAGACACGGGCTTGCTCATTGGATCATATTGGCAGCAGTCGGTTCCAATGCTGGGAAGCCTGCATCCTCTGATGGTCATACAGAAACTTTTAAAGGGCTACCAACTCTATTTCAGTGTTGGAAATAGTTCCCGTTTTCTGAGAAAGTTCTTCAATTTAAATCTTCAACCAAATTTTTAAATTTCTAATGCTCCAGCGCAGAAAGACATTCCAAACTTCAGGGAGAAGGTCCCTGTGCAATCGCGCATCAGTGGGTTCAACTGAGATCAGAAATGTTACAGAGAAGCCAGCTCTCCCCCTCTCGTGCTCGAAGATGGAGACAGAAGAGATGATTCCCATTCTGCCACTACCTCTGCAGTTCCACAGCCTCCTACATGTCCTGCTCTTGGGGATTCAGACCTTTGATGGCACTTTAAGGGATAATCCCTCTGCACCTTGATTGTTTGCTACCGCTTTCGATTTTGAACCCAGTATTTTTGCAATCTGAATTTCCTGTCAGAAGCTCTGCACCTCAGAATGTCAAGTTTCTACACAGAAAAAGCTTTCCAAGAGCAGTCTATCAGCCTGTGACTCAATCTCCTGGAAATCCAAAAGTCTGCACCAGTGAGTCTTAAATTGCCAGCCAAGTTTTTGAAGTTATGAGAGTCACTTGAGTAAGTTTCATTAAATAAGGGAGGCATACCATATCGAATTTAAATTATAGGCTAGTAGGAAATTAAGCCTATCTATGAATTCCTACCATTAATGAATGAGTTACCTTTTACACTTGATCACTTACAGTTTTCCCAATGCTTGAGGTTTGATGGGCAATTTTCTGTGCAATTCTCCATGCCCACCAACCATGTGTGGTGGCATATAAGCATAGATGCAGAGTGGGTGTTGCTAGCAGTGTATAGGTCAGCTGGAGGTTGATTAGTTTAGTTGCCTGGACAGCTGGTTTGCAACACAAATAGTGCCAGCTCAATTCCCACACTGACTGAGGCCACTATGAAGGTCCTGCCTTTTCAAACTCTCTCCATGCCTGAGGTGAGGTGACCCACAGGTTAAACCATCACCAGTTGTTTCTCTATCTCTCTCTCTCTCACTCTCTCTCTAGTGAGGTGATTAAAAAGAGGGGTGAGGCCCTCTGGGATTATGGTGACTTTACCTATAGATCAGCTCTAACTGAAAGCAGAAGCATAAGAGCAACATATGGACAGTTTCCATGGCGTGGAAAGAGAATAGTACAGTAGAGTTCATGGTCTGAAGTTGTTGAACTCAGTGCTGAGTCCAGAATGCTATAAACTGTCTAAGGGGAAGCAGAAATTGTGTTCCACCAGCTTGCTTCACTGGAACACTGCAGCAGGCCTGGGACAGAAAGATGGGCACAGATAGACCAGCAGGTTTGAGAAGGAGAAAATTTGGAGTAGGCCTGTACCTGGGATGTAAACAACTGGGTATAATAGTTAGCTGTAATGCTGTTTTCAGGACAATACCATAGTACTGAGGCTTATGCTTAAATTGCCAAATATCAATTTATTTGAACATTTACTTAGATTATGTTTCAGTTAAAATCATTAAGAAGTCAATTGTAACATACTGTTATTGAATTCAATCAACTGGTCAATGCAACAAATATAGATTTACAAATCACGTGACTTGAAAATGAATGTAGGAATTACAGCTTTGACAAGTCATCATGGCAAGTACAACTGCACAATTAATCATACCACAAAAACTTCAATATATTAGGAAAAGGATTAGTCTGTGAGCATTGCCTGTGCAATAGTTTTCTGGTAAACTGAAAAGGTAGGAGGTGGAAGTGGACCCCAGTGATAAAGCATCAGTCTGGAATGCTGCAATGTACAGTTTGGTCCAGACAATTGCAGAATTTGGAGGTGGCCTTCATTTTCTCTACAACTGTTATGAGCAGATGAGCGAGGGCCATTTGGCACCCTTCTTTTTAATCATCTTTCAATTGGTTGCAACAAATATTTTAATTTGTTTTAGCAAGTAATTATCACATTTAAATTAAAATGAAATACCAGTCAAAACTAAGAAGCCAATTACCAGGTTTTTTTGTATGAAAGAAAGAGGAGTTTTATAATCTACTGTGATGACATTTATGGCTTTAAGAAGTGTATTTTGACCTGGTTTCTTCATGGAGAGTTTGAGATGGAGATGTCGAGCACCTGTTCCAAGGCCTTGGGTTTTTTTCAATGTTGGAACAATAGGAACAGTATGAAGGCATGGGGTCAAGCTCCCACAGAGCCAAGATTTTAGTTTAACTTTCTCTTGGGGTTTGGAAGCTGCTACATATCTTTGCCTGCTCCACAAAATGCTTAAGTTCTCTCTCTGAGTTTTCCGTTGATATTCTTTCCTCCTTAACTGGAGAATTGCAAGTGAGACAATCTATTTTACTGAATTTGCCTTTGCCAAGGGTGTGTTTATGGGATGATACTTTATTGGAACAGTTGCTGTTTAGTTTTCCAGTAGATTTAAGTTATTCCAGTTCTTCTTCCTTTTGTTTGTATTTTAATCATAGTGTAAGAATAAAGTGTGTTTTGCTTCAAGACTTGCAGTTTGTCCAATCGAATTACACTTCATATCGCCTTACACTTGCCTTTAAAAATAAGAAAACTTTGGGGCCTAGGCTATCTCCTTGATATATTTTCAGGGAGATGGTCTGATCCATAACACTACTAACTGTGAGAAAAAGATTAACAAAATGGGACATCAAACACAAATACTAAGTTTAAAAAAATGAGGCGATGTCTGCTGCAGACAAGAAGAATAAAGACTACTTAGCTTAAAAGTTCTTAGAGTCCTGATGTGTTAGATTTTTATCAGAAGACCAAAGATGTTTAAATGTTGACTAGTATTCTTGGCAGTGGTGAAGTTTGTAGGTATCTTCAAGTTTGAGGTGAATTGTGTTATGGACCAGACCAAATCCCCTCAAAACATGCCAAAGAAATAGCCCAGAACCTAACATTTTCTTATTGTAAAGGTAACTGTCAGGCGTTGCATTCCAGATACAATTCGATTGGTCAAACTATCAGGCTTGAAGTAAAACACACTTTAATAGAGTCATACAGTCATAGAGATATATAGCACGGAAACAGACCCTTCCGTCCAACTCGTCCATGTCGACCGGGTATCCTATTTAAATCCAGTCCCATTTGCCAGCATTTGGCCCATATCCCTCTAACCCCTTCCTATTCATATACCGATTCAGATGCTTTTTGAATGTTGTTATCGTACCAGCCTTCACCACTTTCTTTGGCAGTTCATTCCATACATGCACCATCCTCTGCATAAAAAAGTTGCCCCTTAGGTCCCTTTTATATTTTTCCCCTCTCACCTTAAACCTATGCCCTCTCGTTCTAGACTGCCTAACCCCAGGGAAAAGACCTTGCCTATTTAACCTGTTCATTCCCCTCATGGTTTTATAAACCTCTGTAAGATCACCGCTCAGCCCCCAATGCTCCAGGGAAAATAGCCCCAGTCTATTCAGCCTCTGCCTATAACTCAAACCTTCCAACCCTGGCAACATTCTCATAAATCTTTTCTGAACCCTTTCTAGTTTCACAACATCCTTCCTATCAGAGGGAGACCAGAATTGCATGCAATACTGTAAAAGTAGTCATTCATACACTATAGTTAAAATACAGACAAAATAAAAAGAAAAGAAAAGAATTGGTTTATCTGTAACTCTATCAAAATATTTAACAAAATAATGAACTACTCATTAACTGTTCCAATATAGCAACATCCCATAAGTCTACCCTTGACAAAGGCCAATTCAGTAAAATAGATTGTCTCACATACAATTCTAGCAGCAGGAAGAGAACCCAAGTTTTTAGCTTTAACATAAAGAGGAAAAAGAGCTTCCACATCCAGCTTTAAGACCCATCAACTGCTATGGAAAGCTAAACTAAAAATCCTGGTTCAGTGGGTGCTTGACCCCACCCATTCAGGCTGCTTCTATAGTTTCAACTTTTAAAAAACCCAAAGTCTCAAGCTGTTTACTTTAATACTTCATCAGACCACTCGTCACCTCTGTCTCAATGACTCTTCATAAAGAAACCAGGACAAAATACATCTCTTAAAGCCAGAGTATTGTAACAATTATTATTCCACCGATTCACTTTTCCATCATAAGCCATTTTCTGAGATGATCAGAGA